TGTGTAGCCTCAGCAGCACAGCATGCGGGGAGACAGTCTCCTTTCCCCTTACACGTGACTGTCTCCTCCATCTGCTGCTGCAGTTTCTGCTGCTGCTGCTGCTGTTTCTGCTGCTGCTGCTGCTGCTGCTGCTTCTTGCTGCTCTAGGTCCCGCCTGCAGCAGCAACAAAATGATAAAAAGAAAAACAAAAACAAAATAAATGCAAAAACACAAACAAGAACGAACAGCAGCAGCAGAGACAGCAGCAGCAACAGCAGCAGCAACAGCAGCAGCAGCAGTAGAGACAGCAGCAGCAGCAGCAGGAGCAGAGACAGCAGCAGGAACAGCAGCAGAACAGCGGCAGCAACAGCAGCAACAGCAGCAGCAGCAGCAGCAGCAGCCAGTCTTGTGTGTGTCCTTACGCTTGCTCTGTCTCCTCTTCTGCGTCTCCATTATTTACAACATTTATATTATTTATATTATTTATATTATTTATTTTATTTATTTTATTTATTTTATTTATTTTATTTAATTTATTTTTTTTTGTTGTGAGCTCCCCCCGCAAGTCTGTCTCCATAAGCTCCTTCAGTTTAGCGCCGGTATAGCCTTTGCCTGTGTATAAACAAAAATAAATAAATAAATAAATAAATAAAAATAAATATAAATAAATAAACAAATATATAAATAAATAAACAAATATATAAATAAATAAATAAATATATAAATTAATATTAAATAAAGATCTGCTTTAGTTTAGCGCCGCTATAGCCTTTGCCTGTGTATAAACAAAAAAAAATATAAATAAATAAATAAATAAATAAATAAATATAAATAAATATAAATAAATATAAATAAATAAATATAAATAAATAAATAAATATATTAATGTATAAATTAATATTAAAATAAAAATAAAGAGCTTCTTTAGTTTAGCGCAACTATAACATTTTCCTGTGTATATACAAAAATAAATAAAAATAAATAAATATAAATAAATAAATATAAATAAATAAATATAAATAAATAAATAAATATAAATAAATAAATAAATAAAAGTAAATATATAAATAAATAAATTAATATTAAAATAAAAAATAAAAAAATAAAGAAAAACGTAAAGAAAGGCCAGCAACATATATTTTATATAAATATAAATATATACAATAAATACATCATTTTGTTTCTTTTTCTTTCTTTTATATAAATAAATAAAAATAAATAAATAAGTATAAATAAATAAATATAAATATATTAATTAAATATAATTAAATAAAAAATAAAGAAAAAAAATAAAGGGAAAAACAAGAAGGTCTAGAGACAGTTGCTTCATATGTCGTATACAATAAACACATCAATTTGTCTCTTTTTTTTTATTTATAAAAATAAATAAATATAAATATAAATAAATATAAATATAAATATAAATATAAATAAATAAATAAAAATAAATAAATAAAAACAAATAAAAACGTAAAAACAATATAAGAAAGGCTAGCTGCAGTAGCTTCATACATAAATATAAACAATAAATACACCGTTTTGTGTGTATTGATTTACCTATATATAAAAAAACAAAATAAATAAAAATAAATAAAAATAAATAAATAAAAATAAAAAAAAATAAATAAATAAAAATAAATAAAAACCCACCAACAATATAAGAAAGGCTAGCAACAGTGGCTTCATGCGTCATATATAAATAAAATAAAAATATAAATATAAACAATAAAAACACCAAACTGCTTCTATTTTTCTCTATTTATAAAAACAAATAAAAATAAATAAAAATAAATAAATAAAAATAAATAAAAATAAATAAATAAAAAGAAATAAAAACCCACCAACGAGGTAAGAAACTTTAGCGACAGTGGCTTCATGCGTCATATATAAAAAAAATATAAATATAAACAATAAATACACCGTTTTGTGTGTATTTCTTCACACAGAAACAAAAACAAACAAAATAAATAAAAATAAATAAAAATAAATAAATAAAAATAAATAAAAACCCACCAACAAGGTAAGAAACTTTAGCAACAGTGGCTTCATGTGTCATATCTCCCGCCGATATAACCCCAAGAGCAGCTAAGGAGACTCCGTTTTTATAAATAAATAAATTTGTGTCTCCTCTGCAGCACTGTGTCTTTAATATAATAAAAATATTATTTTTTATTGCTTTATTGATTAGTTTATATAATATATTATTATTCGGTGCTGTCCCTGCTCCATATATCTCTATTATAATTATAAAAGGACGAAAAGAAAAAGAAAAAATATATTTTAATATACAAAGAGACAAAAAAGGAGACAGTTTTATCGTCAATATGTTGCTGCTTAGTTTAGTAAACACCCTAAAACCACAACCACAAGCACAATGCAAATAACAACCACAAGGAGACAGAGAAGAAACTGCTGCTGCTGCTGCTGTTGCTGCTGTTGCTGCTGTTGCTGCTGTTGCTGCTGTTGCTGCTGTTGCTGCTGTTGGTGCTGTTGCTGCTGTTGCTGCTGTTGCTGCTGTTG